CGATTCTTTCTTGCCAAAATCATTTTCTCTAAGCTTATTAGCCCATGTTAAACGTTTTCCATCGATCGAATAGTTTTACGTAATTCAAACACCGGAAAGTATGGAAAAAATTTCCGAAAAATGATTTCTCATCAAATAAACTGACCCTAAGTTAAATAAAGGAGGAAGAATGGGAGGGACAGTTCCATCTGTTTTCTTTCTTTTTTGGGAAAGTTATTACCCTTCGGGATAAAATTGTACAAGTGTTTGCAAGCTCACGTCGTTGATAGAAGTCAGATTTGAATGACGGTAGACCATATAATTGGTTCCAATGAAGAGATCCAAAGTGAACAATCATATCCCTTCATATTCTTTCTTGTCCCGGAAAGGGAGAGAACAAAAAAGTTAAGTGCTAAAAAGTTGGGACGAATGTTAAAGCCACCTTTTGATAAAATGATTTTTCTTTCTTTTGGCCGGCAGCATTTGATGAATGACTCCATAACACAAATTCAATGATTTATGGGGATTTTCAATGATAATCTGTAAAATAACATGAGTTCACCGTTTCGCATAACAGGTTTTACCAATGGTGTCTTAATTACAGTTGCTATCAATATGTGGTCTTTTTTTTTTCATCAATGTTGTTAAAAAAGATGTGTGCTTTTACTCTATAAGCACGGGCTTTTCTTCATTTGAAGTTTAACAAAATAAATCCGGGCTATTTACAAGTAATGTTAATAAGTATACTAAAATTAATTTATTAAGTGATATTGATCAAATCGTCTTAGCAAGTGAATGAATGGATTCGTGAAAATAGATACTATACAAGTTTGAAAATACAAACGGTTCTCATTTTCTTTTATAAAAAAGTCATTTTTGGAAAAACTGAATTTTCCAGATCTAGAGAATCTTGAGCTTTCCAAATTGCTATTAAAAATGTCCTTAACTTTCTACTTTATCATGGAGAACATAAATTTTCAGTTTTGTATTAAGTTTACATGGAATCTTAATTTTCTTTGAAAAAGGTCCTGACCTTTCGATTTTATATTGCACCAAGATGTCTATATCGCAGATTTGACAAATAAGTTTAGTAGATAATTTCAGAGTTTCTACCTTGGCCCCTTGTCTAACGTATGCCATCACAGCACTTGTCTTTTATTTCTTGGTTTTATTTCTTGGCCCGATCAGCCCATCAAACTAGACCGACCGAAGTTCACCTTGATTAGGTTGGGGGGAAACGAACTTGGTTGGAAGTTTGATGTCTGCTTTTGTTGACTTCGACTTTGAATGAATCTTTCCGTTTATTTGTTTGGGGGCAAAAGTTGACTCTAATCCCCAAAATTTCTGCACCACATGTCCAGTGATTTTGCCGCGTTAAGGAACGCAAATAATTGTCAAACTTTGACAGGCTGGGAGTGATGCTTCGAGGAAGCATCCTTATTGACCAATTTTGCGCAAAACTGGCCCACGGCTCTTTGCATATTCATCCAATCCTTTGGCTTCTCCAAGTTCAATGACCTACCGAAAAGTCAATCAAAAAATCTTCCTCTTATTAGTTCCTTAATGTTCTGTGGTGGCTGACCAAAAAAAAAAATGTTCTGTGGTAAAGAAGGAACAAAGTGTCTTGATACTTAAGGCCCCCATGCATCTATACGAAAAGTGTTTCTTTTCCTTTATAAAGAGAAGGAGTTAGGCAGTGGATCCCACCTATTTTATCTTTTTCCCCGGGCTTTTGAGCTAACGGTGGAAGCTCAATTTCAATTCAAATGGAAGGAGTCTGATTTAAAAAATCTGCAACGAGACTTTTGGACTTTCGTTCAGTAAAACAAAAGTTCAGCGGAGTATGAGCAAAGCCAAGGCTATCAAAGAACAAATATGATCTTCCATTGGTCTTGATTCAAGAAATTCAATACTTTCCAAGAGTCCTTTTTTTTTACTTATCGAGTCATCGTGATTAATAGCTTCAGTCTTAAATTTTTTTTGTCACGCTCGGATCTACGTCTGAAAAGACTCAAGAACTTATGAATTCCGGAATGGAAACATTTTTACACCTCCGGATCTAGCGAGATTTTATTTTTCCTCCTTGGCTCCCCCACCATGTGCTTCCTCCATGTTGTCCTTATTAATTATCAATCGGTCCGTTTAATCAACACCTGTAACTATCGAAATCTGAAGTCTTGCTGGTGTTGGTGCATTCACATCGCTCATGCACTCGCCACCAAGTGCGAAAGTGACACCGCAATTATGTACAGGCAAAGACGCAAGCGTGCCTCGAGCAGTGTCATCCCTGCGATCGGCGGGCAAGTCCGTGGGCATCTATCGAGACACGTGTTGTCCGGATTTCCAATGGAAGATAATATTTACAATCTGTGGTCAGTTGAGCGTGAAGTTTGGTTGTCTCCTATGTCTAGAACCTGTACATAGTAGAAGAGCGAAGGCTTACTCGGTCTATTGGCTTAATCGACTTATCAACTTATCCCACGATTAGCTTTAAAGTTTGTGGAGGGATAAAATCTAGATTGCAATGTTTGGAAAGGGGGCCTTTTAAAATGCCAGGACCAGATGACTTTTAAGCAGTATTTTATCGACATCAGTGGATGACTGTGAGCTATTCTGTCGTTCTTGAAATTGAGAAACTCTGGCTTGGTGCTGGGAATTCAGAAAGTATCAACCAAACTCTTATCACCTTGATTTTCAAAGTTGACTTTCCTGAACGGTTGGAGCATGTCGGTCTATTAGCCTCTGTAATATTTCCTTCGGTGTTGTCATTGAGATTATCATGATTTGATTGCAGAAATTTAAGCTAAACTTGACTTCAACCAAGTAAGTTTCGTTTCGAGTCATCACATCCAATATAATATCATCATTGCTAAGGAAATCATTCATTAACCGCGGAAAATGAAGGGGAAGGAAGGCTACATGCTAGTCAAGGTGGACTTGGGCAAGGCAAGGCGTTTAATAGGTTAAGGTGTGAATTCACGTGGCTGGACTTCTTGGTTCATTGGTGGATCCCGTCAAGCGATTTATTGCGATTAACAATATGCAGCTTTTTAGGAATGGGGAACTAAGAAAAGCTCCAGGGGGTGTATAACAAGGGGATCTGCTTTTGCCTTCAATCTTTGTCCTTTGTATAGGGCGACTTTCTCACTAAATCATGAATTTCGTTGAGAAGAGTATTTGGAAGCCTTTCCGAATTACATTTTCCATCCCTTCATGTCATTTGTCCACAATTGCCACCTACATACTCAACCGACTTCCCATTAAAAAGAAAAAATTAGGTCCCCGCCATGAGGGCATTGGAATAATTTGGCAGCAGCAAAATAGACATCCAATTGATAATCAACAACTCGTATGACCTCCGACCAAAAAAAAAAAAGCAACTCAAAGACCGGGGGCAGTTTTCCCCAAAATAGGCCCCAACTCGACACCCCCAACCCCGAAGGTGACACTACAATCATGTACAAGCAAAGACGCGGTGCGGGCAGGTGTGTGGGCAATTATCGCGAGGCGGTGTTGTCCGAAAATCCAATGGATGATATATTTACAGTGCGAAGAAACTTCACAAAGACAGGATTATTAAAATTCAAAAAAATAATGACCGAAAGCGCTCGATTGCTCCCATCTTTTTAATATTTTATTTTAGTCACCGAAAGCACTCGATTGCCCCCATCTTTTTAGAATCCCGCTAGTTTATTTACCCCGCAATTGTTTTTTTGTAAATTTTAATCTGGGAGTTTGTTAGGAGCATTTGATCTGTGGTGGTTCAATATATTGCTGCAGTTATTTTCGTACGACAATGATGTGGAGAATACCGAATCTCGGCGCGCATTGCAACCCGTAGTTTTCGGAGGGGAAGATCTTGGCGTGTGCCCATCATCGATAATTCTGGTGATCGGTCGCTGATTATTTTTGATATTGTGACAGATCTCATCTTTTGAGATGAGAGCCGTGCTTATAACTACAATCTGTATTTTTTGTTTTCTGAGTTTTATTTTATTTTAGCCACCGAAAGCGCTCGATTGCTCCCATCTTTAGAATTCCACTAGTTTATTTACCCCGCAGTTGTTTTTTTCTTTCTTCAGTTGCGTTATGACGGACGGTGGACATAAAATAGAAAAATTGAGGTGGGAGGCAATTCGAGTAGCAGAAGGCTTGATGGAATTAAGGAAGAGGCACGTGACTGCTTGACTAAAGCAGTTAGATGAAGGGCGGTGGATGGGATAAGAAAGTAGGCAGTCGGCCAAGCATGGCCAGCCAAAGAAGCTCCCTAAGGTGGTGTCCCTGGTTGCAGTGTGCTAAACGAGATTTTGAGACTGAGCACGAACCTCCGGCTTCGGACGTGAGTGACTTCTCGGTGCTCCGATTAGCTCAATACGATTAACGAAGATGCTATATTGGGCAAGTCCGGGGTTCCCTTATTCATTCATCGTCGTCGACAAAACCTGGTAACGGATTTTCTTCTTCCATTTTAGCAACTCCGGCAGTATGGACCCGCTTAGCAAAGGTCTACTTGTCGATCTGCATCGGCCTCTTGGACTCCGGGAAGGCAAGCAGCATCCCTTTCTCGATGAAGTTCTGCACGATTTGGTTAGTTTAAAAGTCAGCCTGAACTTACTTTAAAGTAAAGTCTTTGCTCAGCCCGAACATTCCTACCTTGCCTCGAGCGCTAGGGGAATTTTCCAAAGGATGGGTGGGATGAGGCCGGCATCAAGGCTTTTTGGCAATCAATGTATAGACCAGTAATTTCGCAGTATAGTAAGTCAAGATCCGACACAACATCACTGTCAAGGGCATTCTTCTGAGGAAAAAAGAAAAGAGTTGGGCAAACAGAGGTTCATTTTTTTCTTAGATGCTGTGTGCAGCTGCCTTCCAACTATCGGAAATCCGCTCCAGTACGGAGCTGTATTTGTCAACTTTGACGGGCTGCAATGAATCATTCTTATTGACCAATTCTAGCAAACTGGCCCCCGACTTTCTGCATATCTACTCTATACCTACAGCGATCTCCATCTGTGGTTCTGGCCTCTAAACTTTTCCATCTCTAACTGCCACTGGTTTTGCTGCTATACTTTTCAATTTTTTTCTTGAAGAGAAGATCAAGTGAGATCAAATGGAGGGGAGTGCCAAAAAAAGACGCATCTGTGAAAATGATGGAACAGCAGGAGGCGCTTCTTCTACTCACACTTCAACAGAAGGTCAAGGAATGGATACTTCGTCAGGATATGACTATGAAGTATTCTTGAGCTTTAGAGGACCAGATACTCGAGCAGGTTTTACCGACTTCCTTTACACTAGTCTTAAAGATGCAGGAATCCGTGCGTTTAAGGATGACGAAGATCTCCGCAAGGGGGAAGAGTTTGCCCCAGAACTTCTCCAAGCAATTAATCAGTCGAAGATCTCAATACCTATCTTTTCGAAAGGTTATGCCTCTAGTGTATGGTGTCTCAAGGAGGTAGTCCAGATGGTCCAATGCCAGAAAAAGAGTGGACAAAAGATCATGCCCATTTTCTATGATGTGGCACCTTCAGAGGTTCGATACCAAACAGAGGGTTATGCAAAGGCCTTTCTTGCACATGAAAACAAGAAGCGACACGACGAAAAGACTATGCAAGAGTGGAAGGATGCTCTCAGTGCAGTTGGGGCAATAAACGGATGGGACCTGCATAGCGAGAAGAACAGGTGACTGCTTTTAGCATTCCATCTGATGTTCATTGTATCATTAAAACTGGAAGCATGTCAATCGGTTTCTTTTTCAGAGTTGTGTTAGTCTTGTTAAATTGAATTTTATGATACTGAAGTTATCCCGCAGAAATCACATCAACTAATGGCACAATCCCAATTTTGTCCTATTTCAATCCAAACGACATTTTTTTCAGTTCAGCTTCTTCATTAACCGTCTGTACCAACGCTAATTCATCTACAATGGAATAAATCGTTGAAGAATACATTTCAAATAGGTCTATAGTTTTCAATTTGGTCTCGTCAGAAAATAGTTTGTTCAACACAGTTTTCTAACTCATTGCCTTTTGACCTCCAACAAACACTAGGCGAGAAGGCGAGTTTGCAAAAACTCACCAAGGGAGGTTTTCAAAGAATTGAAAAGGCTTATTTGGTGGTATCAGATTGCTTGGTCAGTGTTGACAACCATGTGGATGCAATCATGGAAATGATTGGTGCTGAGACAAGTGAAACACGGATTATAGGAATCCATGGAATGGGTGGCATCGGAAAAGACGACTATTGCCAAAATCATCTACAATCAGCTTTCAAAAAATTTTGAGGGTTGTTGCTTCCTTTCTAACGTCCGTGAAACGTCAAAACTTCGAGGGCATTCACCGCTTGCAACATCAGCTCATCTTTGACATCCTCAACACGAAATGGGCAGATATAAGAAATATTGATGAAGGGATTAAGACCATTAAAGACAGGTTGTCTAATAAAAGAGTCCTCCTTCTTCTCGATGATGTGGAAGAAAAGGATCATATGAATGCACTTGTAGGAAAACGTGATTGGTTTGGTAGAGGGAGCAAACTCATTATTACTACAAGAAAGAAGGATGTTCTCATTGTTCCGGAAGTGGACTGCACTTATGAGGTCAATGGCATGGATGACTATCAATCTCTTGAGCTCTTTAGCAAACATGCTTTCAGAAGAGACTCTCCTTTGATTGAGTATATTGACCAATCCAAGAGGGCAATAGACATTGCTAGAGGTCTTCCGCTAGCTCTTGAGGTCATAGGTTCACTTTTATCTCGCACTGAAAAGAAAAGGTGGGATGACATATTGGAGAAGTTGGAAAATATTCCTCCCTTGGAAGTTCAGAGTAAGCTAAAAATAAGTTTTGATGCGTTAGAAGTTCAACAACAGCATATGTTCCTCGATATAGCTTGCCTTTTCATTGGATATGACAAAGACATTGTGGTTTATTTTGGGAAAAATCTAAATTTTTTCCGAAAGAAACTATAGAAGTTTTGCAGAACATGTCTTTGATAAAGATTGTAGAGTATAATAAAGTGTGGATGCATGACCAACTCAGAGACCTCGGAAGAGAATAGTTCGTCAAGAAAGTAAGATGAAAATAGAGAAGCAACGGAGGGTGTGGGATCCCAAGGAAGCATTGGATTTGCTGAGGAGACATGAGGTAAAATCCCCCGTGCGATAAATCTCCATGTTACTTGTGGACATTTTCGTTTAAAAAATCGAGTTACTTTTTGTGTTCTCTAGCACTATTGTGACCAACTCAAACCAATATTTTTGCTCTGTCGAGATTAAAGGAACGATAGTACTCCAACTCAACCCCTTAAAATAGTGAACTTGAATAAATGTGTTTCGCTTCAACTCTTTTATTTTTAAAATTTTCCATTGGGCAGGAAAAACAAAAGTTGAAGCTCTTCGTCTCCGCTTTGACCGTGAGCGGCGATACTATTTTACTTGTGAGGACTTTAAGAGAATATCAAATTTGCGGTTTCTTCAAGTTAACGGTCCGAAGGAATATTTTCGCGCAGAAGAGGCTTCTTTAGGCACGAATTGCCATCAAATGTTCTTCCAACTAATGTTTTTCAGGAGAATTTAGATCTCCTTCCACATTTACGTTGGCTTTCTTGGCACGGTATTCCCCCAACATTTAAGATTGCAAATTTCTCTATGGAGAATGTGGTTGTTCTTGATCTATCCTGGAGTAAGATTACGCATGATTGGCAGGGGTGGAGCCATATGGAGGTATGTTATATGCTAGACAACACTTATCATTCCATCTTATGAGATTCAAAAGTAATCTTTGCATGGTTTTTTTTTTATAGGTGATGAAGAATTTGAAAATTTTGAAATTGACCGGATGCAATTGCTTGGAGAGAACTCCCATCTTCTCTGCTGAGGTAAATTTAGAACGATTGATCCTAGCGAGCTGTGAATCATTAACTGAAATTGATAGGTCGATTTGTCATTTGAAAAGCCTAGTTTCCTTAGATTTAAGTCATTGTTCCTATCTTCGGAGGCTACCAGACGAGCTGGGTAGAGATCTTGCGAGCCTTGAATACCTATCTCTAGTATGTTGCACATCGTTCAAGAGGCTTCCGGATACAATTGGAAACTTGGAATCGCTGATTGAGTTGGATATATCCCAAATGAGGATTAAAGAACTACCCGATTCCGTCAGAAAGTTGAAAAATTTGAAATTAGTAAGGATGTTTTGGACTGCAATGAGCAAAATACCTAATGCCCTTTGGATGATTGAGAAGCTCGAAAAAATAGATGCTGAATTTAGTGGTTTGAAAGTGGAAGTGGAAATTGGCAATTGCATCTCTGAAATCAATCCTAAGGATCTTGAGATTGGTGAATGTTAGAATAAACGTGAGTACCGAGGCTTCCTGAAAGTCTTATCCATCTATGGTTGTGTGCATTGCACATGGATACGTTTCCAGATCTCTCAAACCTGACTAATTTAGAGAAATTGTCACTGACCTTTGGCCCACGCGATGACGCTGGGGAATCTAATGGGCCTGTGGAAGAATATCTGATGCCACGGTGGATTGGGAATTTAAGCAAACTGCAGACTCTGTTCCTAAACTCTTGTCATTTTGTGACCCACTTACCCATGGATTTTAGTAGTCTCCTTCCTCGACTCCAATACCTTACACTCCGATGCCCTAATCTGCGTTGCCTCCCGAGCCTTCCCTCCAGTTTATTATCCTTGGATTTGCACTCTGAACACATGACCGCCTTACCCACAGATATTAGTAGTCTCCTTCCCCGACTCCAAACACTTGCACTCGAATGCCGTGAATCTGCGTTGCCTCCCAAGCCTTCCCTCCCGAGCTTTGTTATCCTTGGGTTTGGGCTTTCAACACATGACCGCCTTACCCACGAGATATTAGTAGTCTCCTTCCCCTACTCCAACTACTTCAACTCCTATGGCCTAACTGCGTTGCCTCCCGAGCCTTCCCTCCAGGTTTATCAACCTTATATTTGCACTCTGAACACATGACCGCCTTACCCACAAATATTAGTAGTCTCCTTCCCGACTCGAGAACTTCTACTCTACCGTAGTAATCTGCGTTGCCTCCCGAGCCTTCCCTCCAGTTTATCAAACTTATATTTGCACTCGAACACATGACCGCCTTACCCACATATATTAGTAGTCTCCTTCCCGACTCCAAATACTTGAACTCCGATGCCACTAATCTGCGTTGCCTCCCGGAGCCTTCCCTCCCGAGTTTAATATCCTTAAGTTTGGTACATTGCAAGTCATTTGGTTCCCTGGGGATCTATCGAATTTGAAGAACCTATCACATCTTATGATTGCTCACTCTGTAATCTCGGAGATGCGAGGCCTTGATGGTTCGGAGAACCTAGATTTGCAGCTTTCTGAACTTCAACAGGTGTGGATATTACCTAATCTAAGTAATCTCAACCAACTATGGCGTCTTTTTGTGTACTATTGCGATAATCTGGTTGAGATTCAAGGCAAACTACCACAATGTTTAAAATCATTGAGTATTCATGATTTGTGGATCTTTACGAAATTGCCATATCTATCAAGCTTGGAAGGGACTGCAAAGGGTTGAAATAAGGCGGTGCAGGAAATTAAATGTGGAGGAAATTTCTTGTTTTGTTCGGAGATGGCAGTCAAATTTGTGGGTGACAAGGCGAATAATAAGGAGAAGATGACGAATCTGGATACGAATTTGAATATGGATATGAGGGGAGAAGACAGGACGGATAAATGCACGTTGCTCTTGAAAGCTTCTTGATCGCCGACCACAAATTGTTCCCTTGCATGTGTAAACTTTAAACGAATTGAGGTAATTTATTTCATCTGACAACCAATGTTTTCCCTTTTCTGCAATCAAACTCTTTCACGGATATAAACAGAAAAGTTTCACATGCACTTTTAATTACCTTTTCACTGAGTTGATGACTAAAAATCTGATGAAGGTATTGGAATTATGACACCTCCAGGACAACCAGAGGGTTCTTAATTATGTACACATTCATTCTCTTCTACTAGTTTGGTTTGGCTTTTTTCGCCAAATTCTCTTTGATGGTTTCTCCTTGGTTTTATGTTTCCCAATTGGAGGTATGCATTTCTATTGCATCGTTTTTTATTTGGTTTGGTTTGTAACAAATTATTAGATATCCTTGTCGATTTGTTGCTTCACTTATTTCAAAGTTTATAACCTTGCTTCGCATTGGAGATGACTTCCTTGTACTGTAAACAAGTAGATGGAATGTGTGTCAGAAGGTCATATAATAACTATGGTTCTCATCCTGGAACTTTACTGCATAATCAACTCATTGTTGCAACTGTGAAGAAGACAGACACCTCGTATTGATATGCTTATGTTCAGTCTATTTTTCTGGAAAGATGTGCTTCTTAGTGGGATTTGCAAATATTATGGAGAAGTCATAAAATGAAGAAAGAGGAATTTTACTTGGGTAGCGGATCAATAGTTGGTGCGGCAAAACTTCCACCTCCAAGGTATCATAAATCGTCTTATAGTTAAGGCTAAATTTCAGTAATATCGTTTACCCTCTTTGCCCAGGACATATGATAAGTCTCACTTGGGGTTAGAAATCATGTAAATGAAACTCTTGTGTGATCTCGATTATTGCCTACATTTTCTAGAAATGGTTATGCCTCGATGATTATCTATAATAGAAGCCCTTCCATTCACCTCGGTTATACTAAAGGATTCTTTTAGGTTTTAAGATTGACAAGAAGTGCTAAGGAGAGATCTCAAACCGCCTTGTTGCCGATTTCTAATGTAGTGAGAGGAATTAAAGTTTGAAAAACTTATAGAAATCTTATTGCGCAGGGTGTTGTGGCTAATTGGGCAGCTGTACAAAGACTGGATAAAGGAAAATGAAAATGACGTCCAAAGTGAAGTTTTACGTTCACTTTATAATTACTTTATGAGTTGATGCCTGGAAATCTGAAGAAGGTATTGAAATTATGATACCTCCGTATAACCAGGGGGTTCTTAATTATATACAATTATATGTTTTCTTTTCCTAGTTTGGTTTCGCTTTTTTAGCTATATTCTCTGTAAATGGTTTCTCCTTGCTTTTATGTTTCCAATTTGAGGTGTGCATGTCGATTGCATCATTATTATTTGATTTATGACAATTCATTAGATATCCTTGTCGATTTGCTGCTTCATATATTTTGAAGTTGATACCTTCACATTGGAGATAACTTTGCTATACTGTAAACAATTAGATGAAATGTGTGTTGGAAGGTCGTAGCACAATGGTTCTCATCCTGGAAAATTACAGCATAATTAACTCATTGTTGCTATTGTGAAGAAGACATTGTATTGATATGCTTATATTCGGTTTATTTTTCAGGAAAGGTGTGCTTCTTAGTGTGATTTGCAAATGTTATGGAGAAGTAATAAAATGCAGAAAGAGGAATTTCACTTGGGTAGCGGCATCAATAGTTGGTGCAGCAAAGCTTCCATCTGTGACAGGAGAGGAGAACTATTGAGCTTCGCCAAGGTATCATAAATCATATTATAGTTAAGGCTAAATTTCAGTATGATCGGTGTATCGGACATATGAGAAGTCTCACTTGGGGTTTGAAATCATGTAAATCGACCCTTGTGTGATCTCCATTGTTGCCTCCATTTTCTTGAAATGGTTATGCCTAGGTGCTTATCTGTAATAGAAGCCCTTCCATTCACCTTAAGTTACACTAGATGACTCTTTTAGGTTTAAAGATTGACAAGAAGTGCTAAGGGAGACATCTCAAACAACCGCCTTTTGCTGGTTTCTAATGTTGCTGAGGGACTTAAAGTTTAAGAAACTTACAAAAAACGAAATTATCCTCGAAAGGAAATTTGACAGAATAAGTAATGTTGATGAAGGGATCAAGACAATTAAAGATATGCTTTTTAATAAAGGAGTTCTCATCGTTTTTTATTATGTTGACCAGAAGAATCATTTGAATGCACTCATGGGTAACATCTGTGATATTCAGGCATTACTGAATTCTTCAATGCTGAATATCAAGCGCTGAAGGAGCTCGAAATTCTTAGTGCTTTTGTTTGTCATTGAATGTCAGTGCATTTTGTTGATCGAAGGCACTGCCATCCTTAATGTGAGTTGATCGGGTTGAAATACTTCGTAGAAAGGGATGACATGTGTGAGGCCTCTGATTGTTTCCAACTTGAAGAGGTTCAAATGATGCAATGTCTGGCATTGCTTAGAAGATTCAGCCATTTCTTGAAAAATTTAGAAGACATGCTCAGCAAAGGAGTTCATTTTCCAATAAGAAGTGCGTGTGGTACTTGAAAGGTCCTACATCCACAGCCAAGTCTGTTGTTAAGGAAGATTTGAAACTTAAACAAATTTCTTATTGTCCTCTGTCATTCCAAGAGATATTTATTGTAGTCTTTCCTGGGATCGTTATCTATTATACATAAATTACAATCACACTTTGGCAAGTTGACTTGAAATCTATTGTTGTAGGCATAGTTATTACTAGCTGTTTTTGCAACCGTTTTCTACCTTTAAGATGGACGCTGTAAACTGCTCATGAATGGGACCATGGTTTTTTGGATCTATTTCATGAGTTTGATTTGGTTTAGATATATTACTTTTTGACGGTTTTGGTTGGCTAATTGAGTTACCAGTAAAAGACAAGTCAAATTGATGCTAGTGTTACTGCATTCAAGTGCACTACTTTTTGTCAATTTACACGTGGGTCATTTATGTGAGATCCTTGGAACTTGCTGGTTTGTACTTTAAATTTGAACCTCATAACCATGCCTTGTAAAACTTAACTTTGCTATACCTTAAACAATGAAGGATATAGTCAATCGTGTAGGTTTTAATCCGTGATAAAAGCTCTTTCATTCACTTTTCGGGTACCTAGGTATGGAGCTTTAGGTTTCACATTGGTAAGGAGAATCGCCAAATGACAAAAGAGACCTATATGGCAGCCTGAGCTCTTCTCTTGGTAATAAGTAAGAAAACTTACGGGTTCTTACTGTAAAGGTAAGCTGGGGCTAGCGCAGGTAACTCGTAGATTTGACGACAGTGTATCTTTCCCAACGTTTTAGTGCTGTACTTTGGCTTTTACAGTATTGTACGAACTACAGCTTATCACATAGTGTCAAGGACTTAAATGGTCTCTTGCTCAATGTGCTTTGAATGGTCACAATAAGCACTTTATGCTTCGAAATGATGAAGGAATTTCAATTTTCCGGTTTCCGCTAATGTTAATTCCGGAATATCAGAAATAGAAGGTAAATGCTTACAGCTTTCGTTCGTTCCAAAGGCCGATCAAATCACTCTTACATGTCTAAACCAAGATGATATAAATTGCTTACCTCTAAAAGTTGAAATTCAACAAAGGTTGCCAATTGAAATGACGCAAACTTCAGATAAGATCATTTTTTTCCAAGGTTGCTTGATTTAATTGTCCTGCCAGGGAACAGTCGAAGTACTTGGTTGTGCCGAGAAATCTTTTATGTGCCAGTAAGCCAGTAGTAGAAGGTAAGGTCACTGATTGAAAAGTATTCTCCCTAGACAGTCTTTGTTTCACCTTATAAAACTGGTTAATCTCCAAACCATGCAAGTCTAACAGTTTCAAAATTCACAAGCTTTTGCCAATTTTGTGAAGTTCAACACGAGTTCAACCCCCAAAAAAAGAAAAAAAAAGAAAGGAAATAAAAAAGCGGCGTGATTCAGCTATGGATAGCTCAGCTCAGCATCCACACGTCCTTATTAGGTTTTATCGAGTCTGGTAAAAAATGCCACAGGCCCAAGATTAGATTGACAGGTAAAATTGCGAGCGCATTCATTCAATAGGTATCACAGAATTGTATTTACAAGGATGATACATTCAACTTCATGCTATTTACATTCCACGTGAATTTCGGTAGAGATCCTATGCATCTTGTGATGGACATGGAAACAGATTGATGAAATGCATTACGTGAACAAACTTCATCCAGAGCTACCTAATGATCTTCACGAAATTAGGTGCTGACTTAGGAGCATTTTACGTTAAGTTACTCTTGGCATCGGAGTCTCAACGCAGCCTCAATGCAGAAGAAGAAGGATTCCTGGAAAGCATAAGGTTTCCTTAGTCTTCGCTTCCGTGTCACTCCCCAATTCCCAACGGGCACGCGACATCCACCACTGGTCGATTTATGCGACATCCCAAGAATGTCGCCGACCTCAAATCGCCATCAGAGATTTACAACCAGAGCGGATACTAACAATTAATCCCTAACAAATACAACTGGGGAGAATAGGAGAATATACATATATTCGATTCCATTCGGAGACTTATAAAATATTCACAATTACAACCTTCATTTACAAAAAGCACACCTTACTATCCACCTCCGATAACAAAAAGGACTAGATGACCTGGTATCCTAACTTCCAAAATGGTACGCCTCAAAAGCTCGATTAGACCCCACACTAACCCCTACAGCCCTTACTCGGCGTCCACTCTGACTCACTGTCCTCGGCATCACCACCTGAATCCTCCTCGGCTGTCCTCGATCACCCGATGGTTCCGAGTCGGCCTCAATATGTTCATGGTTCAAAGCGGGGGCTCGAAATGTTTGGTTGAAATAACCCGTGAGAACACTTCGCGAAGTAAGTTCACCTCTAAACTCCACCTAGGCTATCACGTACCTCCGGACAATCACCCCAAACACAACTTTCGCACACATGCCATTATCACATAGCAGGCACATCAACACAATTGCAAGCATGCACAATTTTTATGTCATGCACTCATTCCGTTCTCATCATGTCTCATCCACATTCCTCACAAGTTGACCCGCGTACACGTACACGCCTCGGGTACACTTTGCGACCTCTTTCCACAACACTTTCAGGCCCGCGTAAACGTACACGCCTCAGGCCATGTTTCTTGCCAGCGTAAACGTACACGCCTCGGGCTCAACATCTACCACCTCATTGCGCAACCCGCGTAGAAGTTCACGCCTCAGGCCTGGCAGTCTTCCGGTAATACCAGGCATCGTCCCGCGTAAACGTACACGCCTCAGGACGGCACAATTTTCCACAATCACACGTCATGCCACATTTCTTTCTCACTCAGGCACATGCTCAACATGTATTTACCAAACACAACTGGCCAATCACACGTGGCCCGCGCACGTATCAATTACACACAACCCATGCTCACTCAGCATTTGACATGACCAATAATAATAATTAAAATAATCTAGCCCACACGTGCACCCAACAAACATAATTAACTCAACCAATTGCACAATCACACATTTAATTTCACCACCACGATCTAATTATTTCCAAACGCACATAAAATACAGAAATCATTATTTTTCTCCCACCAAACGATGTCAAATCGATTCCGGTCCTTCACGGGACTTTTTCACCATAAATTCTCGGTTCTAAAAATCCAAGTTGCGTCCCAATCGGCCCATCACGGCCCCATGAACAGTAAATCACAGCCACTGTTATTCTCTAATTTCCAATAAAAATTGCCCGAATTAAATCCTAAGGCCCGCCACAAAATTTCCACTCCCAATTCATGCCATTCCGCACCTAACTTTATACAGATTTCGCCCAAAAATCGCCCGTCGATACCCGAAGTCCTAAGTTGGGTTTAGAGCGCGACTTACCCGCGTTCTAGACTATCGCGGCTAGAACGGAAAGCGGCGGCACTTAATCGGGAACGGCGGCGACGACGCACAGCTCGGCTCCGCGGCGGCGATCGGCTTGGGTGGCGACGGCGCTGCCAGGCGGTGGCCGATGGGGCTCACGGCCAAAGGAGGACCGAAAGGGAGAGAGAAAGAACGGCGGGATGGGGGTGGCGTGAGGGGTGCGAGACGGCGGGGCGGTGGCGCGGTGAGGCACGGCGGCGATCCAAGCGGCGGCGCGGCGATGATCGGCAAAGAGAGAGAGGAGAGAGTGAATGTGTCCACGGTGGGGGCTTCACGGCAAAAGGGGGAAATTTCACGATGGGGAAGGAGGAAGAAGAGAGAGGAGAGAGAGAGAGAAAGGGGGTCAAGGCTAATTATCCAATTTTGACCATTTTTTTGGTAATTTACCAAAATACCCTATCTAATCTTTTTAATCCGACGGCCGAGATTCGATCCAATCTAAAAATCAATGGTTAGAATTGAATATTACTTAAAAATATCCAAGGGTAATTATGCCTTTTCCAACTTTGGGCCTAAGATGACCAAAATGCCCTTGTCCAACAAAACTAATCCTTTATTAACTCTTAGGGGCATTTTTGGTCACTTTCTCCGTTTCGTCGAAATCGAGTTTTTCTGAAGGATTCGGGCGCAACAAAATTGCACGTTACAACCGCAACGTCGTCCCTAACGTCCCGTTGCTTGACTTCCAAATTTTCCGGTGTCCGATTTAGGCTAAATTAAATAATTAAATTCTATTAAACGTAACTCGAGCGTTTCTCAAACTAACGGGTGTCTTGTTGGGGAAATTCGCATATTCGACTCGTGACTGATAATATATCGAGTCACGTGCAAGTCCGTTCGGTTCGTAACAATTTCGGTTGTCATTAAAATCGCGAGGATCAATCGCTAGATCCGTGGGGTACGATCGTTCGATATAGGTTCAGGATAATTCATCAAATCATTTCGTGGTCCGACGGAATCACCCGCAATCCACTACTATGACGGTGGCGAACGATCCTTGGCTACCCTTAGATCGGCCAACGGTGGCTCAAAATATCACCTCGGCGATTTCATGAGCGAAATTAAATTCACGATCGAAT